GTGTGTTTTCTATTGTGTGTGTGTGTGTGTACTCTTGTGTGTGTGTGTGTGTGTTCACCTCTGTGTGTGTGTGTGTGTGTGTTCACCTCTGTGTGTGTGTGTGTGTGTGTGTGTGTGTGTTCACCTCTGTCTGAGTGTGTGTGTGTTCACCAACGAACACTTACAAGTGCGTATTTGGGCAGAATTCAATTCAAATAGTCATCATCAGCCATTAGTTTGGTAGAATTAAGCATCGGAATGGACAAATTATTAAGGGAGAAAAACGAAATGTGTAAAATGCCAGCGAAGGAACACACACACAGGAATAGTCTCAGATCCGCAGTGAAGGAGAGCTGGACTGTAGGTTTGCCCGAGTCTCTTGAAGATGTTCAGGCAGAAGGAAACACACTACGCAGCAAACAGCAGAAATGTGCAAAACATCTCGAGAGAACCTCAGATTATTACATTCGAAAGTGCTTTCCATATTTGGATCAACATACGCTACTGAACGCACATTTTCTGCAGTGTCTTACAGACTGCACCTTCATTGTGCTGTTACTCCTTTCGAGCCGAATTTCACAAAACTGGTCAGCTCCCGACAGCACCAGGTGTTTTATTAATGGCGAGTAGAATTATTTATTTATTGCAATAAATGTAATCGTTTAGATATCATTATCAGGGGCGGATCTACCGGGATGGCAAGTGCCACCCTAAGAAAAAGCTGTGCCACTCCAGAATGATCACAGAATAAAATATAAATATAAGCAGTGTTTCATGGCATAAATAATGGCAAAAACACGTCTTAAACTGTAGCACATGTTGTACACCTTCAAGCGTGTGACTGTCAAATTTTATTTGTAACCATTTTTTATGTGTATTGCATTTTTGCAGAACTGAGAAATGACTGCCTAGAGATATAGCTAGTCTTGTGTCAGGAGACATAGAAACTGCTATAGTACTGTATACTGTAATGACATTTGGCCAAATGTGCAGAGGATGCTAAATTAACTTTTTTAATTTTATTTTTTAATGTACTGTATTGTGGTGCATGCCAAGTTCATACAATTCTTTGGTATTTGAACTGATCTAGTGCTTTTCATCTACTGCAAGATCACTTACAGTCGTAAAATTAAAAAGATTTTTTCCCAGAAGTTCATTGCTGAGTTATACATCTGTATCTGTAATTTAATGTATGTATACTGTAATAGACATTGAGCTGCACAAATAATTCCTGAATCCTAGTAAGAGTTTTTTTGTTACAGTGTTATTGATCTCGGTGTTCACTGCAGGAGAGTCATCTGTGTGTTTGAGCATTTACAGTTATTTCATCTGCTTACACACAAAATCTTTCCTTGTCACACAGTTTCTGAAACCTGACACTCAAACAGCAGAAACACACCAAATCTACAAAACCATACACTAATTCTCAGCCTTTGACTCAGTTTGCAATTTCATAAAACACTTTTTGTAAAACACAACACACAATTCTCTGTAACACACACAAATCTAACAGGAATTAATATTATGGCAAAGGTGTTTGCAAATGTTTGCTTTTGAGATGTGTTTGTGATATTTTGAACGCAGTGCTTCATTTTGCAAGAGATGTGAGGCTTTTTACATTTTGTGCAATTCTTGGATTTGTGTGTAAAGTTTTTGGTGCATGCCAAGTTCATACAATTCTTTGGTATTTGAACTTTTCTAGTGCTTTTCATCTACTGTAAGATTACATTACAGTAGTAAAATGAAAAAGATTTTTTCCCAAAAGTTCATTGCTGAATTATACATCTGTATCTGTAATTTAGTTTATGTATACTGTAATAGACATTGAGCTGCAAAAATAATTCCTGAATCCTAGTAAGAGTTTTTTTGTTACAGTGTTATTGATCTCGGTGTTCACTGCAGGAGAGTCATCTGTGTGTTTGAGCATTTACAGTTATTTCATCTGCTTACACACAAAATCTTTCCTTGTCACACAGTTTCTGAAACCTGACACTCAAACAGCAGAAACACACCAAATCTACAAAACCATACACTAATTCTCAGCCTTTGACTCAGTTTGCAATTTCATAAAACACTTTTTGTAAAACACAACACACAATTCTCTGTAACACACACAAATCTAACAGGAATTAATATTATGGCAAAGGTGTTTGCAAATGGCAAAGGTGTTTGCAACTGTTTGCTTTTGAGATGTGTTTGTGATATTTTGAACGCAGTGCTTCATTTTGCAAGAGATGTGAGGCTTTTTACATTTTGTGCAATTCTTGGATTTGTGTGTAAAGTTTTTTTTTTTTTTAAATAAGCAAAGTTTTGAAAATGTGTGTAAGCTGCTGAAAAAAACCTGTAAGAAAAACTGTAATAACTAGATTGAAAGGTTTGAAAGACAAATGTATGCTGGCTTGTCTTAAAGTCTTGTTTAAAGTCTGTAAATGGTTTGGTCAGTTAGATG